AGCTGCCTAGAGTCTGTAAGGTATGTAAAACTGCAGTTTTAGAAATTCCACATTGAAGACTTACTCAAAAGCATTCCCTTTTTTACCCTGATTTTTGAATGGATAGCCTGAGAGTAAAAGTATACTCATGTTAGAAGCCACAGATGCATGATTTACTATGTTCACTGCTCCTGCCTAGTTATTGCTTATTACCATAAACAGAATAGACATCTGGTGGCATGAATAGCCAACATAAACCTTACAGCAAACAACCTTTCAGTGCCTTACCCTTGCATCACTAAACAATTTAGCTAGATTAAAAAGATTCTACCTCAAAACATGATTAACAATTCATTCAGATGGCCCCTTCTAGTATTTCTTAAAAGCCCCTCCCCTAAGGTTTTTGCACACCTTGAGGTAGAATCTTTTTAATCTAGCTATTATCTGTTAATTTGGGGCGTGCTCCCTTTGAAGTACACGGCCAAAAAAATGATCTTCAATCACTAAACAATTTGTCTAAAACTTCCCGAATAAATATTTTTGTGACAGACGGATCACAAAATTATATAGTGTAGAGCTGCAACAATTATTCAATTAAGTCGATTAAAATCGACGATGGAAAACGTTGTCAACGTTTTCCATCGTTGATTCGTCGGCTAAAATTCAAATTTCCCGCTCGCCGCTCACGCCCGCTGCTTACGTCCGCCGCCTACGCCACGCCCACGTCAGTTAAGCCGCTCGCGCCTACGCTGGTATACCCGCTTACGCGACGCCGCTTACGCCACGCTGAGGACATGCGTCTGGCCCTCTCCTCCCGGTGAGCTTCCCGACTCGCCGCTGCCTGCCGACAACGAACAACGCCGCTGCCCGCCGACAACACCGTCATTCAAGGTAAGTCGAGATCGGCCGGGAGCTTTGTAATGTTTCCTGTGTGTGTTTTTTTTTTTTAAAGCGGCACACTGCAGAACATTAGTAGCTATAGAGGAACACCAAATCCCTACAATAATACATTATACAGCCTGTATAATGTATTATTGCTGGGACTTGTTGTTCCTCTATAGCTGCTAATGTTCTGCAGTGTGCCGGTGTATTATACATTGGTTTTCTGCATTGCATTGTATTGTGCATGGTGTTCTGCATTGTATAATACAGCGACACACTGCAGAACACCAGCAGCTATAGAGGAACAACAAATGCCAGCAATAATATATTAAACACCCGGTATAATGTATTATTGCTGGGATTTGTTGTTCCTCTATAGCTGGTGCTATTCTCCATTGCGCTGTATAATGTATTATTGCTGGGATTTGTTGTTCCTCTATAGCTGGTGCTATTCTCCATTGCGCTGTATAATGTATTATTGCTGGGATTTGTTCCTCTATAGCTGCTGGTATTCTCCATCGCGCTGTATAATGTATTATTGCTGGGATTTGTAGTTCCTCTATAACTGGTCAGTGGTAATCTGCATTGTGCAGTATAAACATTATACGGTGTAATGCTAGACGGATCACAAAATTATATAGTGTAGAGCTGCAACAATTATTCAATTAAGTCGATTAAAAGCGACGATGGAAAACGTTGTCAACGTTTTCCATCGTCGATTCGTCGGCTAAAATTCAAATTTCCCGCTCGCCGCTCACGCCCGCTGCTTATGTCCTACGCCACGCCCACGTCAGTTAAGCCGCTCGAGCCTACGCTGGTATACCCACTTACACCACGCTGAGGACATGCGTCTGGCCCTCTCCTCCCGGTGAGCTTCCCGACTCGCCGCTGCCTGCCGACAACGAACGCCGCTGCCTGCCGACAACGAACGCCGCTGCCCGCCGACAACACCGTCATTCAAGGTAAGTAGAGATCGGCCGGAGCTTTGTAATGTTTCCTGTGTTTTTTTTTTAAAGCGGCACACTGCAGAACATTAGTAGCTATACAGCCTGTATAATGTATTATTGCTGGGACTTGTTGTTCCTCTATAGCTGCTAATGTTCTGCAGTGTGCCGGTGTATTATACATTGGTTTTCTGCATTGCATTGTATTGTGCATGGTGTTCTGCATTGTATAATACAGCGACACACTGCAGAACACCAGCAGCTATAGAGGAACAACAAATGCCAGCAATAATATATTAAACACCCGGTGTAATGTATTATTGCTGGGATTTGTTGTTCCTCTATAGCTGCTGGTATTCTCCATTGCGCTGTATAATGTATTATTGCTGGGATTTGTAGTTCCTCTATAACTGGTCAGTGGTAATCTGCATTGTGCAGTATAATCATTATACGGTGCAATGGAGAATACCACCAGCTATGGAGGACTACAAATCCCAGCAATAGTACATTATAGTATAATGTTGTACTATTGCTGGCATTTGTTGTATTCCTATATAGCTGCTGGTATTCTGCATTTCGCCGTATAATCATTATACAGCGCACTGCAGAATGTCACCAGCTATAGAGGACTACAAATCCCAGCAATAATACATTATATACAGTGCAATGCAGAATAACCCCAGCTACAGAGGACTACAAATCACAGCAATAGTACATTATAGTATAATGTACTATTGCTACATTCCTCTATAGCTGCTGGTATTCTGCACTGCGCCGCTGTATAATGTACTATATTGCACACCACACTCCACACCATACTTCCACCGCGCCAAGCTTGCTCCCGTGATGGACTACAATCTCAATAGAAACTAGTAGTCCATCACTGGAGCCCTTGTTTTTTTTAATCCGATTAGTCGATTAATCGAACTTAATAATCGGCTAACTAATCGATTATGAAAATAATCGTTAGCTGCAGCCCTATTCCTAGTTCACTAATCTGTTTGTTTTTTTGGCTTACTTGACATCTACTTAAAGATTTATTAGTAATTAAATTCAGTATTTAAAAAACTGTGCACTAAAATGTTGCAGCAATATGTCAGGTTTAAATGCCTTCCCTGTGCAGGTTGTGTGAATATTTTTACTAAAAACACAATTCAATTAAACTTTTTTTTTTTTTCAGGGGGGCCAGACTTTTTGCATAAAACTGTATAAGTGTGCTTTCTAATAATTCCATAGTGCAGGAATTAGGGAAACCAGATGTGGGCCCCTTTAAGGGCAGTAGCCGGCTGCTCTCACATTTGGGAGTTTTTTGGCTTGCTGTAGGTTTATTGTATTAGTTGTCAGCCCCAGGACATTTACAGCTGTGTATACTCTACGGAGTACACGTCTGTTAGAGTTTTTCAACCCAGCGTCGGTTTGAACAGGCATCGGCTCCCCGAGCCTTCTAGGTTTTGCACAGATTGACCTTGTTCAGATTTCCTAGGCGAGAGGTTGAACAAGGATAATCATTGTAATTTACATATATTAACTTATAACTGATGAGAGCCCTTCTCCATTCAGTCAATGGTGCTACAACAGTATACTCTTTACAAAATGTTTTTTTTTTTTTTTTTTTTTTTTTTTTGGTGGTGCAAAAGTATTCTTTTTTCAAAATTTTTTTTTTTTTTTTTTTTTTTTTAATGTAGGACCCCTTTGCGCTTGTGCGTTGGAGTTATGCCAGCACTCTGCTCTGTAATGCGTTGCCATTCATTTAGCATGGCGCCCCAATGTACAGTGGGCGCCATTTGACCCTCACTGCAGCATTCCATAACGTACATACTGTATGTACTAAAAATACTACAAGTCTATTTTTTGGTGTGCTGCTATGCAAAGCACAGAATGTTAACAGTCAATTGTAAAGTTGAATGTGGACAATAAATTGACAGATGCGGTACATTTTATTGAAAGGTCGAATCGTAACTGGGGGGAAGCTACAGTGCTTTAGTCAAGTATTCCGATTTTTCAGCTACGTTTGTTCGGGACACTTTTGATCTCATCTCCTTCCAGTTGATCAAAACCACCATGTTAGGTCTTCCATTGCCTTGTGATTTTAGCAGAAAATGGAATCTTATTGTAAGGGAAATCACCAGGCCTGGCCACAGTCTGATCTGATTTGATCAAACTGTTTTACTTTGTCAGATAATCATTTAGGATGGAAAGATTGCTTGAAGCAATGAAATGTATCATTGTTCAATGGTATAATGCTGCATGTAGCGTCATCATTTCATCCTCACGCTGGATGCAGACTTATGTGTGTGGGAGTGGACATATAGATATATATGAGAGAGGACGATGCCCCCAGTTTTTCTAAATCATCCCAAGCTATTGATATCTATGTCTCTCTAATACAGTTTAGCATGCAATTAAAATCAATTCACGGTCCAAGTGCCATCCAAGAGGTTTAGGGGTTGCTGTATGAAAAGTGTTCTGAGAAACTTTTTGTTCAAACCAACTAGCTTCCAACTGTCACTTATACATTGAGCATTTCTAAATAAATCAAGGATACTAATTGGTTCCTTTGGGGGAAGAAGACATATTTTCTTTGCATGCTTGATTTGTGATTGCTATAGGTAAAAGCACAACAGAACAATGCAAAACGTGGTATTGTTTTTGTGATCGCCTGTTCAGGAATACGCTGGGTCATCTAAGCAATCTCTTACGAATGATCCAGTCAATCTGTATTCTGGTTGGTTATGCAAAATCTTGAGGCACCTCTGATTAAAAAGTCATAAATTTTAAGAGGGATCCCTTCACATCGAAGTGCCCTCTTTTTAAATCTTTGACCTTTTATTTTTCATCCTGACTTGCGTGCGTTAACCTGGTTTACACCTTGGTTGTTTAGTGGCTACACAGTCTAGGGGCTTCTATTGAAGAACAAGGACAGCGAGTAAGGTACAGAGAAACATTGGCTAAAATTAAAGTCCCGGCCTTCCTCACTTTAGCACTGTGGCTGTTTGCTAAGTTACATTAACCGATCACATAAAGATTATACTTGTTGCCTTGGTTTTGCTCTCAAGCAATGTTTTTTGTTTTGGATAATGCCTATTTATGACTTTTTAAATAACATCCGATTTTATATCCTGCTTATCGAATGAGTTTTTGGTTTTAGAAATGTATCTTGTGCCCATGAATAACGCTCTCTTCCTGCTTGTTTAGATCCCATTAAAACGGCTCAGGGCTCATTGTCGCTTAAGGCTTATAGGCTGACTCCGAAACTGATGGAAGTCTGCAAGGAGAAAGACTTCAGTGTGGAAGGGTACGTGTTTCCAGTGTCTGTGTGTTTCTTGGCGTGTTGCTTGTTTCTCACATTGTGGAGGTGTGAGGTAAGCTGTAGAGAACACCTTCATCAGCTGTCTGAGGTAAACTGATCCCATGTATGCTTCAAGAAACATACCTCCTGAATATCCATCTTCACTTTTTCCCTATGTTTCTTTTATTCCATAATCAGTTTTAGACCATTGACACATCAAAATTTTGAAGTACAACTATGACCTCCCTTTAAAACAGAAAAACATATCTGCTGCAGCACTGAAATATAAGTGCATATGCACATTTTTTGCAAAAGTCTCACAAATACCTGTTGATCCTGCTATTGGAGTCCATCTAATGCAGCTTCCTGTCATGGAGTGGGGAATCTTGCTGCACAGCTCCTGAATTCAGAAAATCAGAGTTGCCACTCTCATGTAGGCAGGGCCTGCTTTCACTACAGTGCTATGAGTAGATGTTTCTGGGGGCCATATTCTTGAACTGAAGATTCTCAGCAGGCTTCTGCAAGTCCAAAAATTCCATATGGAATCTGCACGCTTTGCAATAGTCTGTCTTCACCTGTGAGACTTCTTGGCATCAGTGGATATCAAGTATTTACACATCCCCTTCTTGCTCATCAACATTACCTGCGTTTTGTTGTGGATTTGCAACATCACCAATTTTTTGCCCTGAAGCCATTTTTGTTTAATGGTCATGAGTGTGTGTGGGAGCTTTGCGGTCTGGAAGAGACATTTTACCACTGCAGTCTGAGATATAAGAAGCCAGCCTGTTCAGCCTATAAAGAACAAAAAGATCTGTTTTGGGTCCTCCTATCCTTAAGTACTAGATTATCCATATCTTGAAGGTCCCTTTGCGGTAGGGAGAAAGAGGCTTTGCAGTGGAGACACAAACAGCAAAAAAATGGTTTTGGTAATGTGCAGAAAAGTTAGGACCTTTGACCGGCAGTGCAGGTTGTCAGAGGAAATTCCCCAGAGGGAACCAGACTACAATGTAGACCTGGCAGAGGGTCTAACGCTTCGCCAAAAACTTGGATTGATCTATAAACTGTTGGGTTTTTCCTGCATGCCAGTTGCCTATCTGAGGGTGGATGGGTATATTCCAATCTTTGAAACATAGTGTCTGGTTTATTGTAAAATCACCTTGCGAGTCGCATGGCAATCTCCTAATGCAAGTCCCCTTTAAAACAAGAGCTATTATACTCGCTTCTCTAGCAGCAGTGTCACCTGCCTCCCCAGCGTTCCAGTGCTACAGCCTCCATTAGACACTCCGCAAGACCATGAAACTGATTAAGACAGCAGCTTTGGAATGAAGGGGAAAGTAGGTGACACAGCCACTGGAGTGGGGAGTATAATAGGTTTTTGCAGGGGACAGTGGACATGCATTGGGATATTTTTCACGTCGTTGACATTGATCAGATGTTTCTTACTTTTAATGGAGTTTGCAGGAAGTCCAATATATACAGCTAAATACTACCAGAAACACTTAGTCGTTATATCAATGTAATATTGCTTTGTTTCTGATCAGTTTTCAACTGTCTCTCATCTTCAGATTGAAAAAAGCCAACATTGCCTTCGAAAACATGTTTGAAGAGGTTCCTATTGTCATTAAGAACTCTCATCTCATCAACGTGCTGATCTGGGAGTTGGATAAGAAGGCGCCTGTGGCCGAGAAACATGAGCTGCTTAGTCTGTCCAGCAGGTGAGAATGGGCTTATCTCAACCATTAAACATCCATTCACATTTACCTAAAAGTAGCATCGGCTTAAACGACTGTGTTGCTAGCATAGATGACCTGAAATGGTGCCGTCCTGTAAAAGAAGAAAATCCTAATAGCAACTGAATACTTTGCTCTGTTGCAGAGCTATGGTTGTCACTTTTGTCCGCCACATTTAGATTCAGCATGTCCACTGCTGTGCCCTGAGATTTTCTGCCATCTCCTACATCATTATGAAAAAGTTAGACTGTCCAAAAGTCTAGGGACCCTGGGACCCTGAAGGAGCGCTCCTACACATGTTAGATACCTTTTGAACCATTTCATCCTCGTCCAGTGTGCATAGTCTTTTATTTCACCAATACAACCCCCGATGAAAGGGGAACGGTAAGCCAAAACTCAGTGGATACTCCCTCCTGTGATTCTTACTTTGGCAAAGAAAAAATCAACTGGACCTATTCACCAATGGTGCTCTCATTTTTTGACAGTCTATTTGTCTCACTACAACAGTGACCACTGCTGTACAGGAATCTTTCCTTACTGCTTGCCTGCAAATTGGTTTACAATACAGTGTCCAGTAGTGGTGCACCAAAATGAAAATTTCAAAACCGAAATGAAAAAAAGTCAGCCTGAAACTGAATGTTTTTTATTCTAACTTTTTTTCAGTTTTTTCAAATATATTTTTATTTTTTATAAACTTCTTAATTTTTTTTTATATTTAATTTTTTATCCATTTTTTATTTTTTTTTACTTTTAGGGGCTTTGGGGAAATATAAGGGGTCTAAACAAACCCCTGATATTTCCCTTTTACAATAGAAAAAGAAATTGAGGACACAGAGTCCTCAATCTCTTTTTCTGCAGCCCCTGTTCTAAATGAACAGGAATCCTCTATACTGAGTGATCCTGTTCATTCATAACATAAGGACATAGTGTGTTTTATTATATCCACAATCATGAATGAGCAGGAGTTGTTGTAGATCACTTCCCATTCATTCACAATTGAGGATATAGTAACCATACTCTGTTCTCAATTATGTACAAACACTCAGCGATCACTGACTGCTTGTATCTGCTCTTCTTCCTGACTCACTGTCACAGGAGGCTGAGCGAGTGGAGCTCAGCCTCCTATGACAGCACTGCAAGCTATCTCTGCCCCCACCGCTCTCCCGATCTGTAACAGGAGGCTGAGTGGTGTGGGAGGAGAGACACCGGCCGGTCACAGCGCTCTACTCCTCCCGCACCGCTCGGCCGCCTGTGACAGTTTCTCTCCTCCCCGCTGGGACACAAAACAGCTCCCAGCAGGGAGGAGAGAGAGAGAATGGATGCACCGCTATTTAGGCCAGAAAATGGTGCTTTCTGCATTTTGCCAAAAGTGCCATTTTCAACCAATATATCGGTGCATCCCTACTGTCCAGTGCTCCACTAACACTTCAATGTCTGGAACTAGATCACTACATTACACAGTAGTGATGTAGGGGTTGGCGGGAATAGCCACTATCTGCAGCAGGAGAAAGTCTATTATAAGGTAATGTCCTACAAGTCTGTATGATAAGGCAGGAACATGACCAGGAGGGGATGCAGGCGCTAAAATGGCCATTGACTTCTGAAAATGGAGGAGATATAACATGCAGATCAAAAGTATGTATCCTATACACAGAAATATGATCCAGCTGTTAAAAACCTACAGGGAATAAATAAAAAAAAAAAACCTACATAAACAGCATTTACATCTAAACAATGACCTTTTATTAATGTGTCTGAAGAAAAGAAAGCCCTGCATGATGCTAGAGGAGCCAATCAGCTTCAAACATTCACTCATTAATTGGCAAAGTAGGATTGGATATGATCATCCAGGCAATCTGACGCTTCAGGTAGTTAAAGCTTGCGCATCAGAACAGTTGTGAAGTTTCTAACAGTAGGATGGACTTTACATAAGTGAGTGTCTCAAATAAGCATCATCTGTGCTGCTGTTTAGAAAATGATCATATTCAATCCTACTTTGCCAATTTACGAGTGGATGTTTGATGCTGATTGGCTCCTGTTGCATTGTACTGCGCTTTCTCTTCCTCAGACACATTAATAAAGATCATTGTTTAGATGAATATGCTGTTTATGAAGGGGTTTTTTTTTCACTTATTCCCTTTAAATTTTAAACAGCTGGGTCATATTCCTGTGTATAGCATACAATATGTTTCACATGATACTTGTGATCTGCATGTTCTATCTCCTCCATTTTCAGAAGTCACTGGCCATTTTAGTGCCTCCATCCCCTCCTGGCCACGTTCCTGCCTTATCGTGCAGATTTGTAGACATCACCTTATTATAATTTTTCTGCCGCTCCTTGGCTGAAAGACGTACAAGCTACCTCAGAACTTCAGCCAGCGGTGCCTGACAGGCACAGATGTGTTTCCTGATTCATGAAGCTTTTATATACTAACTCAACAAGGGTAGAAAGTGATGGCCACGGTTCAGCTTAGGGCAGCGGGCTACCATTTATTGCTCTGTGGCGGTAGGGAATAATATCGGCCGCTGCCAAAGACATTTACCATTTCACATCTCCGAAATCGAATTCCGCACAATGTATATATTGAATGAAATACTTGTTATCCGGCGGCCAGTAAGACACGCTATAGATCATCTTATTGGCTTTGAAAAATGTCAGTTTGTTTCAGTTTTCCCCGGGACAATAATGGGTTGTAAATGTAAACCTATAACAGCGGGGTGGAGGGGTGCTATGGCTGGGCCTAACACTTGAGCTGATCCAGCGGTATTATAAGACTAAGCTAATATAATGTCATTCTACACACTATAAAGCCATCACGTCTGGATCTGTGTTTTCTTTAACAAAAAACGTATGGCTTCTTTCTCTGTTCACTTAAGTAGATTACGGCATAAAAGTCAATTGTAACTTTTTTTTTTATGCTACTTGGCCATGATATTCATCTCAGGCTTCCCAGCAACTGTAGGGTTAAGCTCTAGACATAAATTCTTGATAAAGTACCTCTTCATATATTCTTCTTAGCAGGCTACCCTACCTCTTTTCCTGCTTCTCTAGCTATATGTGTGTTGGACCCGATATGCAGAAGTGGAGTAATTTAAAAGAACGTTTTCTGACCCCCACAAGACAAGTAGTAAACTATTACAGGCAAATTCACACCTGCGTGAGTACAATGTGACTTAAAGCTTAAGTTTTAGTAGAAAGCACTATATTTTTTTTTTTTTTCCTCGTGGCTGTGAGGATGTTGGAAAAGAGCCCGATGACACCAGCCTGTTTGTAACTTTGAAAGTATACACCTGCAACTTAGGGTTATATGTATATACGAATGTCTTCATATACAAATTCCTGAAGATGTCAATTTGCTGGTGTTCACAAACCAACATGAGTTGGTTTGTTAACACCAATAGCAAAGCTTTCTGGGAGAGCCCATGCATAAGAGAGCTTACAGAATTTAATTATTTTTGCATGTAATTCGTTTGTGCACTTCATATATATGCTTAGATGTGCCTATATACAGTGTGTGTGTGTATGCACACGCACACACATTACTCGCCTAGTGGTTGCATTTTTTTTGTTATACCTAGTAGGAATCGATGTCCTGGGATGCATATTATTGGTTCATCTATCTTCATCTGAGTCAGTCAGGGCCACAGCCTCCTCCATGTCCGCAGGGACCTTGCTGTCCACTCTGTGCTTCCTGGTTACATGTGCTCAGTTATTGGGGCATTCTGCTGAAAGAGGCTCCAAGCGCACCCTACTGCCAACTTAGACCCCATGAGCCCTCAAGCCATATTGAGCCCATTGCTCCTGTTACTACCTCTGATTCAGTCAGTCTACCTCTGTGATGCACTTCGTTTCCTGTGGCTGAGCTGTATTTTCAGGGTTTTTTTTTGTTAACATTGAGGCAATGTGTGACGTTCTGCACTTGGACGAGCAGCCTGTTCCAGGAATTGAGTCTTTCAGAGTTCCTTTAGCTGCAAACACCTTCCCGCTACACCCATTATTTAAGTCATTTTTGTATGATGACAGGGAGCATACTGCAGGATCTTGAGTCACAGCTGCTAGTGTATTGGATCTTTTCCCCTTTCCAAACTAGTATAGAGACGGTAGGTCGACACATCCTGTAGATGCTTCAGTGATCCACCTCAACAGGCAGGCCACCGGGTAGATGGACGGTGTGCTCACCTTTTGAGGATTTTGCTCAGAAACAAATGTTACTTTTTTAGATCCCAGTTCGAGATAATTGGTGTGGCTATCTGCCCTAGGCTGACTGTAACCTTAATCTGCCACAGCTTGTCGGAAATGGCGTAAGCTTTCAGGATAGACTTCTGTACTGCTGGGATGCTGTTTTTCTCCTAAGTCAGACTGACTTTGAGGTTATTGGTTAACTGTTGAGCTATCATCGTGTAAGAAGTCTGCAGATTTTGCTGTCTTTTGGGATTTGGGTTGTCTGGCCAAACAACCTTGTTTTTGGTACCTTCTCTAATTTCTAGGGTTAGGAGTTTAAGGCTTCACCCTTTCTTAGATGGACTGGCATCTCCTCTCCCTGTCCATTGTTTTCTTTAGGACCTGTTCTGGATGTGACCCGTTGGTTTGTTCTGTTTATCCCAGTTGACGTTGGTCTAATTGTCGTCATTCAGGTTCTGTGTTGCTCCACGTGTCTGGTGGATTGTTGGAGGACACTTAGCCCTTTCTGATCTGGGCTCTAGGCCCCTCAGGAAGTATCCTTCCTGATCTGGGCTCTAGGCCCTTTAGGACATATCCTTTCTGATCTGCAGCTGGGACCAAGCTCTGGCGCTCCACCACTGTCCTGAAATCATTAGTTGATATTGTTTTAGAAAAACTTTCACATGACAATAAACAAAAATGTATCGGTACTTGTATCTGTAAGTACTTGGGCAAGTATCAGTACCTGTACTTGCAAAAATGGTATCAGTGCATCCCTTTCTATATGTTTATAAAAACAAAATCATACATTAAAGCAGAGATG